ATAACAGTGAGAAAGGACTGCACACAATTGATTCAAACACAAATGTTTAAATCTCATCTGTGCTTGGGTATTTGAGGCTGCCTGCCCACAAGGACATGCTGAGATGTGGCTCTCTGACATGAGAAACAAGATAAAGGAAGAGAAGGAATATAAAATATCTTCATTCCAGAAAATGCAGCTGTGAGAATCCWGACTATCTTGTATTAAAAATAAGAAGTCACATAGCTACAATGAAAAGAAACAGTGAAATGCATTGCAAATAATTATTTTCACTTGCAAGGAATGAAAAAAAAATGGTACTGCGAGTGCATCCCATTGCAAGTGTGTCCCAGAAGCTGTACCCAACAGCACGTGCCAGGGTCACACTGTCCCCACGAGGGTGGAGCAGCTGGCATTGTCCCTGCACCCTGCTGCCCTTTCTCCCTGCCCCTGCACAAGTGCAGCCACCTCTGTCCTGCAAGGCATCCTGGGCTTGGCACTGAGGCACTTTCCTGATCCAAGAGCAGCAAAGTTATTTTATGAAATCTCCTATCAGTGAACGTGCCCAAAATCTGATACACATCACTTTTTTTTTTTTTTTTTTTTTTTTTTTTTTTTTTTTTTTTTTTTTTTTTTTTTTTTTTTTTTTTTTTTTTTTTTTGCTTATGAAGTAAATCTTCAGAAAATTCTTGAAACTCTTCGGTTTTTATCCCACAGTACAACAAAGCTCTGGACATGCTGCTGTAGGAGACAGCACCTTTTTTGAGAATCATTATTTCCACACTTCAGCGATTGCATACAACATGTTGCCTCAGGCTCACCCTGATTCCCACAGCTCCAGGGGAACCCAACCTGCAAAAAGCAGGCCTGAAAAAATACAGCATGAARTATTTCTGGCTCTCAGTAAAGAGTTCATTCTTTTCACTTCATAACCCTCCCAGCACTTGCACCATTTCCCTGCAAACAGATACAAACCCTGGGCTATGCCAGAAGCCACAGATGCACAGCAGGGCACCCTCTGCAGGTGTCAGCCAAGCAGGAGAGATGGGGATTTTCTTTTTCAGAGGGAATAATTCTACAGTGTGAGCTTTGAAAAAGGGCTGTAATGATGACTACAAGGATCCTTTGCTTTGTTTCTAAATTGCAGACTCAAATAACTGCTAACATCCAATTATCTTTGCTGGGAATACTGGCATCCCAAATGTGCTATATTGCTCTGAATTTATACCTTATATGCCTTGTAACTTATAGGACACACAGGTTTAGTAAAAGGAGAGGGGGTTATATTATTGTTATGCCTAATCACACCTTTCCACTTCCAAATTTCTTCTTCTCCATCCATACTCCATGAAATATTTATTCAAACACATGAAAATTACTGAAGTTTGGACTTCGACTGACTGCAGATCGATACTCTCTAATGTGAACAGAGAGCATCTCTGGGCTTATTTGGCACTGATCTGAAAATAATACGCAAAAAAAAAAACATACAAGGAGAGGAGAAAAATGTAGACAAGAGAAATCTATGTCTGGAATGGGGAAAGGGACAACTACTAATTTAGCCTTCCTGCATAACTTGTACATTATTCCCTCCATGCAATTTTTAAATACATTTTTAGAGCACAGAGATCATTTTCATCCAGAGAGGAACAGTTTGAGAAATGTCCTCAGATTCTGTGGGGAGAAATTCCTGCTTATAATTTACTTAATTGATTGTATTTTCATCTGTARATGCAAACGCATTAGGGCTATTTATTCTTCATCACAGCTTTCCTCTTATTGTTGTTTGGTATTTGGAAGAGTCCTCTCGGGAGGGGAAACAGCACCAAACTCGAGTGTGCTGTGTGGTATCAGGTGATCAATCAGAAGTTCTGGGATGGAGACTTCCAGGCCTCTTTGTCCCTGTAGTGACCAAAATTTCTGGCACAGGGGTCACCCAGAGCCCCAGCCCCAGTGCTCAGCCCCTTTCACCAAACCCACAGCACTTCCACGAGCACAGGCAGGGTGYTCTCACCCCACTTCACACAGCTCCTTCCAGGGATGCAGCAAATGCTGCACAGTCAAACATTTCTCTCTGTATTGAGCCCAGAAAGTTGCTGCTTTTAAAGACACCAGAGTTTTATTTTGTTTGGGTTTTTTTTTCCTTTGTCCAAGCTCTCAAAGCAAAGCTGAGAGTTCATTTTTCTCTATTACCACTGTCTGCTTGCAAGCTGCTTTTCCTGGAGTATTTCATAAAGGCTACAGATATGCTCTCCAAACAATATTGTAAAAGAACAGGAAAACACTCACAGAGCCAGTGGGGCTCTTGAGACACTGCACTACTTCAGGTACTAGGAAATAAAATTGGTTTTACTCTAGTCCTGTGCTTTCTTTCTGGACTGCTCAAAAGGTGCTCACACTGTCTCAAAAGTGGGTGTTCAGAAGCTGCAAGACACAACAAATCAAAACAGCACCTGACAGCACAGGGCCTCCCAGCCAGTGCAGGAAACCCACATAATAAATCTGCTTTAAATCCTGTACATTTTCTGTGCTAGAAACATCTGAATGGATGGAAAGTAAAAGAAAATCTTCCACAATAGAACTGAGGTACAGGAGCTGTGAGGAACATTTTCTCTGCCTAACCCTCCCATGGCTAATATGGTGTGGTAATAGACTGCACAATTAGGATTAAATATGGCTTTTCAGAAGAACTGGGATGAACCCAGGTTTAGGCAGAGCTTTCATCCATTTGATCATACAGAAACCACTCTCGGGTGCTGGGATCACATAAAACCAAACTGGCTGCACACGCTTGCAGCTGTCCTTGGATAGTGGGAAGCTCTTTGTACTCAGCACTTCCCCTTACCTGTCCATTAGTGCAGAAAGGTGTGATAGAAGGGAAAAAGTTTAAAAGTGAAGCAAAATCCAAAGGCAGATTTCTAGTTCCTCTCACCTCTACTGAACTGCTGGAAAACTTCTGCCATTGAGGTAGGAAGTCTCAGGACAAAATCAAAGCATTCAGCAGCAGCACCTGCACAGATCTCCAGGAAGCTTCTTGCAACTACCCCAAAAAAATCATTTGGTATGAAGTTTTTGAAAACAGAGCAAACCAGAATGAGCCTGTGCTGCAGCACACRCTGCCTGCCACCTTTTACACCTGAAATATGGCAAGAGGAATGGTCTTTATTTGTAGCACTAACAGAAGTCACCACAAATAGAACATTCCAGGAGAACTAAACTCAATATTTTATCTCAGGAATCAATAGTTTTATTGTCCAGTAATATTACAGGAATTTATTACTTTAGCCAAACAAGCATCCACWGAWTTTTTTCTASTTGAAAACTGTAATTTTTTTTCYRATTTCCTAGTARGGAGATGAGGSTTGTGAAGGTCCAAMAGRGGAAGAGGATGGCTTCCTGTGTCTCAGCAAACAAATCCACAGAGCCACGTGCAAACAGACACACAGACCCCCTGCAGAAAAGATGGAGAGGCAGGAGCTGCCCAWGGAGAGATGCACTGCCCATCCTCCCCTGTCCAAAGCCACAAGAAAACAACAATTACATGTAAGGCACAGGAAAGAAGCTCCTGCTCAGTGTCACACCTGACCTCAGCTTCAAAATCAATTTTTCATCAATACTGAACAGAGGAACAAGGACTGCAGCCTTCAGGTTCTCATTATTTCAAAGTGCTTGGCAGCACTTAAAAATTAATAAATAAAAATCTAAGTGAGGTCAAGGGGGGAAGGTTCTGCCCATCACTTCTTTTCATGCCATCCATCAATGATGTGCTGCTGTGTGAACACAACACCTGAAGGATCAGTTCCAGCCCTATTTTAACTAAAACTCATAATAAACAGCTACGGGATGCAATGAAGCCACCTGCTAATTTCTTATCTAATATATATAACTCTCCCTCCACTTYTCACAGATTGCTGTTGCTGCCAAGGTCTACATCTCCACAGTTTCTCCAAACTAAATCTAACACTCACACTGGCAGTGTAAATTACTGGCTAAATAAAAACACCAGTGAGAGAGAAAGTGTTTCAGGGACAAATGTTAAAGAAAAGAARAGCAAATCATTATCCTATACAATACAGACATAAAACATGTAGCAGCTCATCTGCGTTCACCCCGAGCACAATTACAGGAAAAAGGGAGATTCAATTAGAATGAAAAGCAATCAATCCACATACACAACCATATGATTTCACCAGATTAACAAAAAAAAAAAACCAACAAAAAGACAGAATAATTACCAGCTAAGCGGTCTAAGTAGGAATTTCCTGTACAGTTATTACACATCTTTACAGCATCATTACATATCTCTTTAGGGGGAGTCAGGATGCATTGTCTTCCCCTGTGCAGATCAGAACGTTGCCCTGGGATGCATTGCCTCTCTCACTGTGTGGAAGTGCTGTTTTTATCTCACCAAAGCAGGGCACACAGCTTGGAGGTGAAGTGATACAACGTGGTGATAAAAACATAAATACCAATGCTTTAAAGCTAACACACAGAAACCTTTCATTAGCACACAATTTTTTTTTAATATAATGCATTTAAATAAAATCATAGCTGATTTCAGGACTGTATCTGAAGTAATTTAAGCAGTCATAGCTTGTTTCAGAACTGTATCTACACTAAAAGAAAGCCTGTCAAAGAGCTTGTCGAGCTTCTTATGCACATCTGTCGCAACAAATGTTTCTYAGAAAGTCACGTCTGAGGTACGCCACGGCATTTTTGTGAAAAATTAAACTGGTAAGAAGGAAATTACACATTTACAATTTTAATCATATTATTCATCAATCCCTGTTCCTCTTCACAATTAAACTGTTTGAATTTCTCTTTCTTCCCACCTCGAAATTTTTGATGGCAAACTCCATGATAAGATTTGTTTCCAAGAAAAAAACAAAACAAAACAAAATTGCTTTCCAGAATCTGAAATTGAGRACAACTCAGCTGTGATTTCCAAGCCCATCTGAAGGACATCTTATTTCATTACTCTATCTGAAACYAAATTGAAGTAGTGAGCAGATTCCTCTTACCTGTTTGTGAGCATGATCATAAGAGTTAATGTGATTGTCAAACTCCTGGTGTTTATAGTACTGCTTGTCACAGAGTTCACAGTAGAAGTTGGCTTTAAGATCTTCCAGAGCTTTTGCTATCGTGTTTTTCTTTTCAGCATAATCCTGGAGGGGGGCRGAAAAAAGTAATTTTAGTTTTGCCTTTGATGCTGTGAGTGGATTTTGTGCTCTGCCGTTAATCATATTTGTAAACATTTACACACCTCTGTAACTAAAAGCCTGCCCATATTTGCTGTGTTACACTGCACATATTTACTGGATCTGAGGATCTGCACACTCCCGTTTGTTATACAGTTGCCAGCTCCCCTTCGGGGCTCTCTCAGAGGCTAGAAGGATTTCCCTGGGTTCCGTTTAAACACAAATATTTACCATGCTGAAGGCTATTTTCGAGTTCATYTCGATCCAAGCCTTGCTCCTCAGTAATTTACCCGAGCACAATAAGCATGAAGATACAAATGGCAATAATTTAGTTATAAGGCTTTAAAAAAAAACAACCAAAACCAAAAAATCCCTAAATTAAAGAAACTACTAGGTCCTTCTTGAATGCCTGTACACATGAAACACGATGAACACTTTCATAGCTGAGATGCAATGAGTTTCTTCAYCCCTCTGTGTTTGCCATCCCACATTAGAAGGACACTTCTCTGTTCATCACGCATCAGCCAGTGTCACATACAGCTCTGCTGACCATTTATGAGACAATTACATACAAGTAAGATTTATTAATCCCCTAAATGCATTGATGGTAGCATGGCCTGCTGTGAAAGAGCATGGAAATGGTCTGTCATGTCAGATTAGTGCAATACCAGTTAAACACTGAGCAGTGTAACCTCAGTGCCAGGGCTCCTGCTTTGGACCAGTCTGTCCAGGATAGAATCTTCAGGCCAAAATCCCAAAGGTGTCAAATACTGCTTAATAAACTTAATACTGCAAAATAAACCCCTTGGATTTGTTTCTCAAAGTTTCTTCACTGTGAGTTCTTTGGTTCGGTTAGACAAAGACAAAAGATGACAAAAGCTGTAATACCCAAAACAGAGTTAATTTGGGGGAAAAGTCTGTATTTGCCAGCAGTTTTCACAGCTGGCGACTCACATACTTCCACTATATTTTGGGGACTTTAAAATGGAAAATTYATGTTTACCAGATTGGTAGACTTTCGTAACAACGATGTTTATTCAAAAGAGAGAGGAATAGTAGTCATAAAAATTAAATCTAGAAAGTACCTATTATTTAAAGTAGTACTTTAATTCAGCTTGATTGCACTGATAGCAAACACTGTTGATTCATATCCAAACTGAAGTACTCCCTAACCAAAATTCTGTGTATTAATAGAATTGCACAAGTCACTTCAGAGTGGTGTTTTGAATATTGGCTGACACATGACAAATTCACACATTCCTAACACTTTCCTACAATGATGTTTCATAAAATCTGTTCTGTTTAAATCCAAAGTGAGTTAGCRTTTTATTTCAAGAAATAACAGTATTTTACATTTATGCACTATGGAAATTCAGCTTGGAAGYTCTGCACTTAGCTCTTGGTATCAASTAGTAAAAACTACAGGTTTTAAACCACTTCAAGCACTACCAGGATGCTRTGTATGGAAAGCAGTGGAAATAGCATGGAGACCCCAAGGAGACACACTGCCTTCAAACACTTTAAAAGTAATTCTTGTAGCAGCAAAGGGATGACACCTAATTTTGCTTTTTTTAAAACATGAAAAAGAGGAATCTGAATTTAGGGGAATTTTCTTAACTCTGAAATATTACAAAACATCATATATATATATATATATGATGACAGTCAATGTGATATTCTAGGACAAAAACAGTAAATTGAATAATAATTTTTTAATAAAATTCAAATTTTATTCCATTCCACCATGCTGTAGATTAACCCTCAAGCAAACTTTTGCAAGATTTACTAACATTGCACAACACCTTGAATAAAGTTATGCAAGTTCATTAATGGTCTCCTTGACATAAATCACCATTTTTGAAACAATACACTTTTTTACACAGCAAAACCTAACCTGAATGCAATTTCATTTGGCATGCCAATGCACATAAATGAGGCAGGGACACTGGAACCCCATTTACTGTAAAAATAACACAATCTYTTCAGGATCTTGGGGTTTCTATCACTAAATTCCTTCTGCTGGGTTTTCTGGGGGGACAGGGTTAAATTTACATTGCAGTAGTACATCAGAGTTTCAAAGGCAAGAATGGCAACACATCTAAATTAAATGCAAGCAGATGGGATGGAATAGAATAATGGAGCTCAATCATGCATGGAGAAGGGACTTTGATAAGAAACAAAAGTCTTTGACCTTGGGGACACATGAATGGCTATATTGGTGCAGTTCAGCCTTTTAAACCTGTGCAAGATGTTGATTTGTGCAGCTAAGGAAAGTGACCCTTAACTAAGCACCATCCCCTTTGCTCTGCACCTGCATTTCAGTTGTTGCATGTTGGAAAAGGTCACAAACAGTTTTTACTCCCTTTGGAGTAAAAAGGGAGTTGGAAAGGATCTGTACCCCCACCACACCTTCTCTCAGGTATTGCTCCCTGAATGACATCGTTCTGGTTCAGTCAAGCATTCCTCACACCAAGGCCACTCACCATCTCTGTTTGTTCTTTCCAAAGTCTCCAAAAAAAAAGACCTGAGAGCACTGCTGCACAGCGTAGAACTCTACTCACAGGCTCTGTTTTCTACTCTCTTCCTTTCTGATTTTTTTTTAAACCATGATACAGCACTGAACCAACACTTTTATACAACTCCTTTATCATCCACATCCTTTGCTGCTGTGTAATATTTTGCTGGCAGATGCTTTTATCCAGCTACTAAACTTCATCCAACTTTAAAAATTTCCCATTTCTGCAGTGCCAGAAGCTGCTCAAGACAAACCTCAAGACTTCAGCTCCCTACATTTCACATGCACACACAAAGAAACCCTTAAGGACATCCTTAATGCAGGGTGTTAAGGAGATGCTCTGTGGCTGTGGGATCCCCTGGGCTGGGTCAGGACTGAGCCAGCTGCTCCTGCTGCTGGTTGGCACTGGAGTGAGGAAAACCTGAATTCAAGGATGAACAGGAACCAGGAGAACAGGGTCTGATGGCTCTCTGCTTGCTGGGCTGCTGCTATTGATCTCGCCTTGGCAGAGGAGGGTCTACCCAGCCCCGTCCGTTTTGATGAGGGACAACTGCCCAAAATCTGACAGTAAAAAATTACCATCCCTGGACCTTGATAGCAGTGGGCAATGGATTGCAGACAGAAATAACCTGGGAATTTACTGGAGAGGAATATTCCTGGAGTAAAGCAGCAGCCAAAAAACTCATTTAAACTGGTTAAATATGATCAAGCTTRGTTTCATTTTCATCAAGATTTGCAAACCGTCCTGGAAGTTTTAGGAGAACTTTGAATTATGATTCAGCCTGGTAATGAAACTCAGAACTGAGTGTCACTTAGTTTCATTATTTTTTTTCCTGAAAGGCTTATTATCTGAAAGCCTGCAGCTATAATTCACTGTAGCTATTTTTCATAATTTATATGAAAGATCTCTAATAAGTGATCCCATCTATCAGCTGGCTTTATTTCTCTAAATCCATCTTCTCCATCCTCCAAAGCCTTAAGCCTGTGCAAATGCTACTGCAAACATCTGATAAATTGGATTAAGAGCAGGCTTTATTCACAGAGGGGCTGTCACAGACCAGACTGGACTCTGTGCTCCCATTACAGGAGAGACAAAGAAAAAGAAAGGAAGAAAAG